ACACGGAGACAGTCTTAAGTCAAATCTCCAGTCTATATTTTATAAGCTGCATGGCGTAAGTTATTTCACTTAAGTTTCACTCCCTTCACTTCTAATACAAAAATAACAATTGTACCTAACTCAAGGTAGGCACAACATGTGTTGTATAACTCTCCAGCAGCACCCCTTAACCCCATTAACACTTCTGCAGCGAGAAGCATAGATATTCACACGAAGCAGTATGAATGGACATACAAATATTCAGAAGGGTTATGGTCAGGTAGTGCCATCGAATGAAAACCTTTTGTTTTCATAGGTTTTTAATTTTCAGAATTAATGTATTTGGGATCTTTAGATTTGTATTTATTTATCAGTTATATTGTGGTTTTGTTTTGTTTTGTAAGATTTCTTTATTGTAGGGAGAGAGAGAGCATGCGCATGCACAAGCAGGAGGAGGGGCACAGGGAGACAGAATCCTGAAGCAGACTCCCCACTGAGCACGGAACCTGACACAAGGCTCCGTCTCAGGACCTGAGATTATGATATGACCCGAAACCAAGAGTTGGCCGCTTAAAGGACTGAGCTACCCAGGCGCCCCTAAGCTCATTGTTTATGCCCTTTCATGGTCAATCTATTGGAATCTTGATGTTTTTCTTCCTGATTTAATTGTAGTGCTTCAAAATAAAGAGAAGTCAATTTTAATGTAGCCCAATCTGTCCACATTTACTTTTGTGATTTGGGCTAACTCACAGTAAATGTGCAATCAGGGATTACTGAGCAAAGGAATGAGGTTTTCTTTTCCTCCACAGCACTGTGAATCCGAGTCTCTCCCTGGCTGGAAGATTTCTTTCAGGGAAGGAACAAAACGAGAGACTCCTTCCAAGAGCTGGCCAACAGGAGTGCATGACAGGAGGTGAGCTTTCAGACTGCTTTAACATGGAATCCTAGCTGTTTGGCTTTTCCTTTTCCTTTTTACTCCAGAAGGATGGTATGCAGCTATTTCCTTGCATTTCCTGGGAGAGTCTGAAAGTTAAGCCCTCCTGCCTCTCAAGTTAAGAGATGCTATCAGTAGTTTTTTTGGCAGATAACGACTTTGGCTCTGCATTTAATGGACGTTCATGAAATTTAAAAAATGATAGTGTTTGAGGAGAACGGTAGTATCTCCTAGGAAAACATGAAGAAAACCAGAAGGATTTCTGCAGAAAGAAAAGAGATAAATGAGTCCGGCGTATTGCCAGAGCAGGTCCTGGTAGCCTGGGGGACTCTAGCAAAGTTGCCTCAGAAGGGAAAGGGCCTGCTGCCTGGAATAAGTCAAGCAGGCCAAGCAAAGGGCCACGGGCCTGGGTCCAGGGAAGGGCTAGTGGGAGCACAGCCATCCCACCAAAGCTCCCCAGTCTCTGCAATAAGAACGTCTCATTGTCGGTCTCAAAGCCTATGCCAAGTGGTCCTTCCAACAGCACTAAGAAAGGATTTCACATTCTCAGTGTCCTGTAGGAGTGACAACCATTGTCACAAGGCTTTGTTAGGTCCCTAATGATTACCCATGTGAACACATATCTCTCTAAATTAAGATACCCAGGAGCCCAAGAAAAATAGTTGGGAGTCTTGGAGGAGCAGGGGTGGAGGAGTCCCTTATATGTGTACTTCTGGGGGCTGAGGTGATCTCTAAAGAAGTGTCACCCTCATCACAAATGTGTGAACACAAGCAAGTCATCCTCAGAAAGAGCTCGAACTGCCTGCCTCTTCTGGGTAGTGGTATTTTTATGCACGTGGGATACACTTAAAGACTTTTCATTACCCAAAACTTGACTACTGTTAAATAAATCTCAGCTAAGTTCATTTTTAGTAATTTTAAGTTTTTCCAAATTAAAACTATTTTATAGTTTTTCCAAAGTAAAACTATTAACATTTGTTACATCATGCTATTTCAAAGCTTGTAATTCAAATCCACATCAAATTTATAAGTTACTGGTGAAGGTGAAATCATGCTGGAGAGAATGGTGGCCCAGTGGAGGGGAACATCATAGCTTTAAAGACCAGCCATCTGCTGACAACTAACACTTTCAGATCTCCAGTCCTGTCCTCTCAACGCTGGTCTCCCAGATGCAGCGCTTCATCCCATAGGATGGCTAAGGGCATTTCAACTGCAACACATCCTGAGTTAGCTCCTATCCTCCCCTTCTAAACCAGCTTCTCCCCTACTCTCTGAGTGGCAACTCCATTCTCAAGGAGTCTACCTTCCACTGCACATTTTCTCTCAGAGCCCATGCGCAGTCAGTCAGGAGCCCCGATGTGTTCTACCTTCTCACTGTGTCCCATCACCACCCGGACACTGCCTCACCTCTTGGCTGCTCCCCCTGCTTCATCCTCTGTCCTTGTAGACTCAGAGGGATCCTGAGTCCACAAAAGCCAGATCACGCTGCCCTGGCTCCAAAGCCTTCAATGTTTTTCTCATTCAGAGGAAAATTCAAATCCTTAGAATGGTTCTTAAGGCTTATGCAATTCCCCCCTCCCCGACACACACACACACACACACACACACGACCGCACCCCACCAACCTCCTAGCTTCCCACCTCCCCTGCTCACTCTGCTCCAGCCTCCTGGCCTTCCTGCCACCTCAGGGGCTGTTCCTGGCTCCTTCCTCTGCCTGGATGCTCCACCCCTGATATCCATGTGGTTCCCTCCCTCACCTCCTCTGGGGGATTGGTTTAAAGGGGACCTCCCAACCACCCTATTAAAAATCATAATCTCCTTCCTTCTTTCCCAGATGTCCTATATTCCTCCTCTATGTTTCATTTCCTTCAATACTAGTTATTTCTCCCAACACATGATGTAATTTATTTGCTCATTAAAAAACAAAAAAGGCTACCCCCATCCTAAAACTCAAGCTCCATGGGGGCAAGGATTTTTGTCTGTTGTCACTGCTTTATCCCCCACACCTAGAACAGTGCTGATATGTAACAGTCCCTCAGTAATAATTCTCAAATGAGGGACTGAATCACCTAATTACCTTGCAGCAGCTTTGATAATAACATGTAGGTCCATCACAATATACATATATCATGAGAGCCATCAAAAATAATTTGATTTTTATAGAAGTGCTTGTCAAAAAAAAAACTAAGAAAAACCATTTAAAAATTATTGTTCATCGGGGCACGTGGGTGGCTTAGTCATTAAGCATCTGCCTTCAGCTCAGGTCATGATCCCTGGGGTCCTGGGATTGAGCCCCACATTGGGCTCCCTGCTTGGTGGGAAGCCTGCTTCTCCCTCTCCCACTCCCCCCGTTTGTGTTCCTGCTCTATCTCTCTCTCTGTCAAATAAATAAATAAAATCTTTTTAAAAAGTTATTGTTCATCAATAATTATTTCAGTAAATGACAATTCATGAAGTAATGTAATGGAAAATAGGTTTTAAAAAGTTCCTTTCCACTTATAATAAAAGAAATGCAATAATAATAATAATAGGAGGAGGAGATGGAGGAGTGATAATATTCAACACTGGCAAGGGTATGGCAAGAAGAAACACTTCCAAGAAACACTAGTATGAAAATAATTGTTACACGTTTTCTAGAAAATTCCTTGGCCTTAAAAAAATGTTTGGATATGCTTTTATCCAATCATTACACTTCAAATGATCGAGCCTGAGAAAACATAAGAAAGAAGACAAATAAGTATACACAAAGACTCAAATCACAACACTATTGAAAATAGTGTAGAGTAAGCAGAACTCAACTGCCAGTGATTGGGCAATGAATCAACTCTGACACAATTCTCCACCTTCTCCCATTCTTCCCACTTCCTCAAGAGGCTGCCCCTGAAGTGCCTCCATCCCATCCATATAATTCTTCTGGCTGTAATTTCTTAAAACACTGTGCTCCTTGCTTTCATATTTATAATTATGTATTTATTTTTTTGCTTTTTTGGTCTATTTCATCCATTAGACCGTAAGACGCATAAAGACAGGAGCTCTATGGTTTGTTCACTGCTGCAGTCCTTAATTTACAACTTCTGGCCCATAATAACCACCCAAAATGTGTTGAATAAATGAATAAGTGAACAAAACAGAATATTATGCTGCCATTAAAATATTTCTGAAACACGGATGACCTAGGAAATGTCTACAATGTATTAATAGAAAAACACAAAACTCACATTCAAAATTATTTTAACTGTTGAAACATGCACAGAAAAAAAATCACAGTGGAAGATAAAACTCCATAATAATAACTCTGGCTGGGTGTTAAAAATATGTTAAGTATTATTACTTCCTTTTCCATATTTTTCTATGTTCAAAATGTTTTACACTGGGGATGTATTATGTCCATAATAAAATCATACATAAAGCCCAGAGGAAACCACAGGAGTGGAAGACTGGAGACAGCAAACAAGCCAGTGCAGAGAACCTCAGGAGGGGACACTGGCCAGCCATGGCGGAGCAGGGCGACAGGGCTGGGAGAGGCAGCAGAGCCTTTTCATAAGCAATTATGGAGTGGTCCAGATTTGTGAGCAGATGAAGAGTGATATGGTCAGTGCCGGGCTGTAGAAAGATCTCTCTGGCAAACTACAACCCCCAGGCCAAACCCAGCCCCCTCTCTGTTTCTGTGAACTAAGCTGTACTGAAATACAGCCACACTCATTCACTGATGTACGGTCTGCAGCTGCTTTCATGCGAAGCAGTTACCACACGGGCCATTATGGCCCAGAAAGCCTAAAATATTTACCATCTGACCCCTTACAGAAAAACCCCACTGGCCCCTGGTCTACAGGCTGTATCAGAGAAAGGAGAAATCGCACGAATTGAGGAGGTGGTTGCAAAGGCCACCCTTTTAAAGGGAACGTGGAGGATGACTGGTGCAGACGGAGGAGTCTTGACAAGTATCTGTATTGACAGTCAGATGGAAGAGAAGAAAAAGGCTCCTCTCAGAGGGTAAGGCATTCATGTAGTAGACAGTTACTGCCGTTTTAGAGAATTACTATTTACAAGTGCAGCAGGAAAAAACAGTAACAGCTGGGTCACTTACCCGCAGAATCAGAGCTGTAGAGACTGGTAGCTGCCGTGATGGGTCCTGACGGGTGGATGGCACTCGCCGAGGACCTCTGACTCGCAATCAGGATCCTGCTCTTTGCAGATGGTAAACGGGACATTGCACCCAATCCCAACTGGGGCTTAAGGAGCATGGCCGATCGATAGAAAGTTGGAGGAACTTCATAATGAGTATAGGAAGGAGAACAAAATTCTTCTTTTCCCGGGCGTTCTGTAACCTGTGATAAATGACCAGAAGCTTAATCAGAGAAGCTCCCATCACAGGATGAGCATGGAATGTGGTCAGGAGACCAAGGCTCCAGCAATGGCCACTCTGACCCCACCGAGTTGCTCCATCACTGACCACTTACCTTCTCTGGGCTCCAGGGTCTTCATCCCTAAGTTAACAATACAACTGGATGACCTCTCAGGTCTCTTCCAGTTCTAATGCGCTAAGAATCCACATTTCACTGGGAAAACAACTCACTGTACAAGATTTTTAAATTTGATTGCTACAAAATCACTGGAATCTGTGTGAGTAGCCAATCTATAAATACATAATTTCAATGAAGCAGGAAAAGAGTTTAGCCAATGTTCATAGAATTATGAAAGTTTCGTTCTTCCTAATGAGAAAAGGCACAATGTTTATGGTAACCTACTCTTAAGATAAGCAGGTGAACCTTACCAATTTCTGTTAAGTCTTTACCGGGCTACTTAGGCAATAAAAAAGCATTGTTAATGTGGGAGAAAAGGCTGTTTGGAAGAACAAAGCAGTTGATGGAAAAATACATTTTCAGGCCTCTACAATCTGTTTACATAATTAAAAACGAGAGACTGTGAATCTCCTCATCTGTCTCCCCTAGTAAGGTGGGGTGTCCAGGAATGTTTGATAAGTTTCACTACAGTGCAAGTTCTAGGGCAGAATCTTGTTGACGGCTAAATCCATAGCACCTACAATGGTGTCTGGTACATAAAGTCAATAAATATTTATTCAATAAAGGAATCATGTTTCCATTCTTACCTAAATTTAATAACATAATAATCCTGTGACTTTCCCCTATAGTTAAAGTTTGGGCTAGAACACAACCTATATGCGTTTTATATAGGTAATTCTATACTCACAAAGCCTGTTCATATTATTAGTGTTTCTTCATATTAAAAATGAAAAAAATAAGACAACTAAATTATCTCTATTTCCTTTAAGTTAAAAAAAAAAAATAGTGCCAGAGGCTATGAACGAAAAGATACATCTGTGAACTCTGTGCTAACTCACAATTTTATGTGTCAAACATTTATCTATTCAGGAATCACAAGCATTTAACAATATTCTTTAATAGGGGCTATAAAGCTTTGATCCAAGCTGTTGAAGAGAAAAACTCTCAATGTGATACTCTTTTAATGTTTAACGTTTTCTCCTTAAACTGACATTATTAAACAAACAAAAGATTAGGCCTTTAAAGTTTTATCATAATCACATTGTAACATATGCATGATTGCTCTAGTAGACAGGCTGAATTCAGGCCACAGCAAGTTATATTCCTGTGAAAGACATTCTATTCCTGCTCTCTAATAAAATTTTTACCATTCCCTGCTTACCCTCTTACTATCAACCTTTGGCTTTTCTATTATATTTATGTTCCTCTATTTTTTCATTGCAGTTTCTAAAATTCCGGTGCCCCTGCTCACTGCTTCTAGCAAGTGTGCTCATGAAGAAAAGACTTCTATCCCACATCTGTCAGGTTTTCAGGACTGCAATATGCTGATCTCAGTAATTACTCAGTCCTTTGAAACTGGAGAGTCCAAAACCCAACATGCTGTCACTTGGAAGTGTCCTTAATGATTTCAGTCACTGCAATGCCTGTCACTTTGTTGGGTGGTTTGTCTCTGGTAAGATGTAACAAATTCTTTAAGACAGTGAAAAGTATGCCTAATTGGTGTTTTTGATAAGGCAAGGGCACCTACAAAAAAATTCCACACTCGTTTCTTTCATCTTTACTGACAATACAGCAGGTGTCACTGACAGCTACGAACACATAGCACTGAACCCCAAATGACTCTTTCCCCTCCTTCTCTAATGGAGTACTTTTAGAGAAATAATTTTGAAAGCAAACTAAAAGATCCTTGTGATCTCAAACTCCTAAAAGTCAATCAAGGTATACAAACAGGTTAAGTTCTTACTAGATTGCCACTCTTCCTATTTGCCCCGTCCTGCTTTCAGTGGAATGGGCTGAACTGGGCAGACACACAGTAAATGTGGAGGCTTCATTGAGAAGTCACTGATCCAGATAGCCACTGGGAGAGGACCTGTGATGGTTAATCTTAACAACCTGGCTAGGTCATGGTACCCAGATATTTGGTCAAAGACTATTCTAGATGTTTATGTTTTCAAAATGAGATCAACATTTAAATCAGTAAGCCCTGAATAAAGCAGATTATGCCTCATCATGTGGGTAGGCCTCACCTAATCAGTTGAATGCTTTAATGGAAAAAGACTGACCTCCCTTAAAGAAGAGGGAAATCTGCCAGCAGGTGGCCTTTGGACTTGAACTGCAGCATCACCTCTTCCCTACGTCTCCAGCCTGCTGGCCCACCCTGCATACTTTGGACTTGCCAGCCTCCACAATTGCACAGGCCAATCCCTTCAAGTCTGGATAGATACTTACATAATACATACATATGTCCCTGTATTATGGGAGTAGGAAGGGAGACCAGCCCTGATCAGACATCTGTATGTTGCAAGTACACGACCTTACCCGTGTCCTCTCCCCCCTGCTCCCCTCTTCCCACCTCCTTATACTAAAAATGCAAAGGGATTCCCCAAGGCATCAGTAGGAAGAAGTGTCCCAGAGACCTCAGGATAGGTGCAAGCAGAAAACAGTCTAAACCAGGAAGCATATTTGATCATCCTGCCATGATCTTCAAAGCCGCTTCCGGAAGCTCTAAATGTCTGTACTGTTCCTGTCAACGGAGAAAGGATGCCCTCTCTCAGAAGAGCCCTTCCTCTGACTTCTTCATTTCTACTAATGCTAACCCAGCAGGAATCTGTCAATAATGATGAAAGAGTCTGAAGCTGGTTTGGGTTTGTACTGTTAAGACTTTCCCATTTATTAAAAAGATATAGGACTTCTACAATTGAAAAATACTTCTGTTGCAACTGGTCAGAAATGTGTTCTTTCCCTGGAGATTGGCTGAAGCCATCCTGTGGCAAGGCAGGGCTCACTGGCAGGGGAGGTGGCCTTGGGACCTCCCTGCACCAAGCCAGAATTCAGGAAGGCAACCCACTGGATTTCGTCAAGTTGCAGCTCTAGGAGCAAAGGCCAAGGGCCAGCCTATTGATTAAAAGAGGATTATGGCAGAAATTGGCCCAGTACAACACCTGGGGCTTCTCTGCCCCGTCTTGTAGCTGGAAGACAGGGCCTTGGACACCTGATTATGGCAGAAAACAGTCCCCAGAGGGGCTGGTGCACAGTGGCGCTGCTGTCCCCCACCAATGGGGCCTCTCCAAACCCCTCAGAACTACTAACACCACACAAACACTCATGCTATCCCATTTCCTTGAGACTCAGGGTGGATTCTAGAGGATTAAGAATAGGAACTATTTTGGGGGGAAATGTGCATATAATTTAGAAGTTATATTTTATGGAGGGAGCCAAAGCAATGCAGAAAAGACATACACAAAACCAAAATCAGTAAGGGTCACAGAGAAAGAAATGCAGACAGTAACAGCATGTTTGCCGACCTCTCCACATAAAATTTCTCTCATGAATGTGTTCTTGCAGAGAAAAGTCTGGGGGATCTTTTTTGGGGTGGGTGGGGAACCAAATTAGTCTATTTGAAGAAATGGTACAAATGAATGAACTGAAGTGGATGCGCTGGTACGACTTACAGACAAGGTAAAGGTAACCCCAACATGTGTTGTGACCAGGGCAGCCATCCCAGTGGCCACAGAGAAACCAGCCCAAGGGTGAGCTCTTATCACTGTCTTCCAGAGTGTGCTTGTCAAAGAGATACTCTGCCATGCCAGATTTGGGGACCCAATCATGCACAAGTTGCTTACTTCTGCAGTGACCCAAGAAGAAAAAGAGTCTTTGGTTATTTAAACAGCTTTGGTATCCGCAGCCTGGGGAGGGTCAGAGGGTTACCTTTGAGAGGCCTCAGAAGGAGCATCCCTGCCTTAGCAAGGAGCTTAAGGTCAGAGCCTGATCCTGAGCCTTGGAGGCCCAGGTGGATAAGGTTTTAGAAATTTGAGAAAGACTCACATTAACCAAGCTCAGAGACTGATGTATAAGACCAGAGTGGCAATCTGTCCACTGTTAGTGAGATGCCACGGCCTAGGGCCAGACTCTTTATGTCCTTTGGCTAGAACATCCTCTCGCTGCAGACCTCTGTGAGAGAAGCCCACCTAAAACAGGACAGAACGCAGCCCGGAACAGTGAAATGAGCCCCTGCTGAAAAGACTGGACCCTCAGACTCTCTAGTTGGTGTTCTCTCTGTAGAGATGTGAGGTGGGAAAGCAGGCCCAGAGTCAGAAGACAGTGACCGAGCTGTGTGACTTGGAGCTAACAGCCTGCCTCAAGGCAGAACAGACGGTCAGCTGCTGGGGCACCTGTCAGTGATAGCTTTGGTCAAGGTCTGCTGCTTAGGATAGATTCACCTCTTTTGCTGGGCCAAAGCTGACAACTTCCACTCTGATCAGTACATTCAGCAAATATGTCAATATATTCAGTCAACCTAAGGTCCAACGTTGGACTTAGCCCTTCTATCTCTAAGAAGCTTTGGTTGACTTTTGTTTGGATCCAACATATATGAGTTCATAATTCAGCCATCATTCAACATTTTCTGACAACATCGTTATGTCAAGCACTGTAAACTCTGGGGACCCAGCAGAGAACAACAACAACAACAACAAAAACAGAAAAAAAGTCCCTGTTCTCATGGATTTTACATTCTAGTTGATGCCGCAAAAACAGAAAAAGTATATACCCCAGATGGAGATAAGCACTAAGAAAAAAATAAACCAGAGAAAGGGGGTCTCAGGGAAGGTGAAGTGTCTCTCCAATGAAGTGCCATTTGAACAGAGATAGAAAGTAAAGGAGACAGCCACTGGGGGTCTATGGAAAAAGAACATTCCAAGCAGAGGTAAGTGCAAAGACCCCGAGGCAGCAGAAGGAGAGAGGGTGAGCAGAGGAAGGAGAGGTGGTTGGGGAGGTTATGGAGCCAGATTGAGTCCATCCTAAAAGCTGAGCCATCCTACATGCTTAAGCCTGTGTTCTAAATGGCCTGGGCAGACCTGAAGGATGTTATGGAGAGGAGTGATCTGACCCCAGCTTTTAAATGATCACCGTGGCCGCCATGAGGAGACTGGTTCAGGAGATAAATCTGCCTTCTGAGCTCTGGGACGACAACTCGCCATCACACCCAGAAATGAAAGGGGCAGCACAGTGTTGGAATTGGGAGGGCGAGAGGAGCATCTCAGCACTGTCCTTGTTCTGTGGCTTTAACTGAGTTACTCAAATCCCTCCAAAGTGGTTTATACAATGATAAAAACTGTAATCCCAACCTCCAGAAAATGTTATGTTATGTGGGCTCAAGGCATAGTAGGTGCTCAACTAAATGTTAGTTGTAATTATTATTCTGACTCAAGGAGCCCATGCCTAACACATTATTTGCTATTCACTGTGGTTTTCCCATGTATGAATATGAGATTCTCCCATAAGGAAAATACTCCCCCTGAGAGGATGAAGTCAGACCAATTTGAACAATGTATTTATTTTGGACTTTTCCCCCTGTTGATCTGGCTTATAAAAGACTTATGCTGACTTATTTAAGCATAGAAACCAATTTAAATGCATACTTATCTAACCTCTCATGTATTACACTGAGTGGAACTTAAATATTTGAGTCTCCTTAGATGTTAGCTACATCTCATCATGACCGGCAAGCTCTTCCGGTCAAAAATGTCCACTTGTCTATAAACTCCTCTAGTTAAGAACATCCATTTCTGTGCACATGGATCCATCAAAATCTGCAATTTGCTAACAGAGGATATTCTGTTTTCACAGTTCACACTGAAAACACATAACAAACTTTACAGTGTTTGACTTAAAGATCATATCAGAATGACATTCTCTTACCTCCTGCAAAAACTTTTCACTCATTTGACTGAAATGGTGTCCTGGGGGCTTGATCCCAGACACCATCAACCCAGAACTGAAGACCCGTGGCTTTTGCAAGTCTGGCTTGTATTTCTCATAGAGGTTGGCAGATGGCTTCAGCTCACCACCTGCTGCCTTCTCCTCTTTGGGAAGAGACATGGTACATGTGGGCGGAACATAAGGAAGGCCCACCGGAACCAGCGAAGTGTCCACCTGGCCGAGGGCCTGAGGACTCCTCCTGATGTAGGTGATGATCTTGGGCCTCACGTGCTTGGGCTTGGGCAGAATGATGGGCTTGGGTTCTGTCCTTTCTTCTGTTTTTTCAACCTGGTGGCTCTCCATTCCCTCCTGTGAGGAAGGGGTATCCTCAGAATGTGGGAATACAGGCTCGGGGATCCCACTGGGGCAGGTGCTCTTGTCAGGCACTTTCGGGGGTGTGTTCAACAACCGCGCACTATCAGTGGGGGGTGCGGCAGCCGAGGCTGACCTGGCATCCACACCTAACGCGCCAAGGTCCTGAACACTGCTACTAGGTGGTGGAGGCTGGTGGGTCACATTCACAGTTGTCTCTGGATGGAGGGGTGCCAGGCCACTGAGAAGAGCACCTGCTCCCCCTGGGGTGCTTTCAGTCTTAGCAGTATTTTCTAGGAGGTTCCTATCTTCTGCGACAGATGTAGTGATCTCTTTGCTGTCCCCTACTTCTGAGTTGCTGCTCTGAGGGCCGAGGGGCTCAGGGACCCCAGTGTTGAGCTCTCCAACAGAAGGATCTAAAGTACAAACTGCCACACTGTCCATGTTCCCACTGTCCAGTGCGCTCTCCTCACTGACATCTGAGGGCCTGCTGTCTGGTGGGTCATAAGGAATAAAAGGTACATGCCCATCACCCGCTGAAACGCCCAACTTCCTAGCTGCACTTGATGAAATTTTGCCAGTGGGCTGCTTCTCGGCAGCTTCCAAGGAAGCAGGGCCTTGTGTGGGGCTGGTCTGAAGAGAACCCTCCTCACCTAGGTGGACTGCTCTCTTGTCCTGCTCACTCCTGCCTCTTCCCCCACGAGTGTGGTGGCCACTGCTGTGTGACAGGCTAAGGGCACCAGTGGCGGCCTCCTGCTGTGCTTTCCCACCTGGCTCCTTTCTCTCGAGGAGTAACACACTACCTTCCTTGGGGCATCCCAGACCCTCGGCCTGGATTGACTTTAACTCCTGCCCAGCCTGGGGTGGGACAAATTTCAGCTCTGGCTTGAGCTCTCCCTTTCCCTGACCTAACTGTGCTTCTGGCTTACTCAGGACTCCCTTCAGTGCTGAAGCTGAATCCAGACCAGGCTCTGGAAGGGCCGAAGGTGATGTGCTCTCACTGCTGACTTTCGGTCCATGTCCCCCCTCCATCTGGGTCTCTGAGGGGGTGGTCTCCTTGGTTGCTGAGGTAGATGGTTTAGGATGACGCACACTCTTTCCCTCTGAGGTACTGTCAGCTAGAGGAAGAGCTGCCCCTGGAGAGGGGGCGGTCAACAGCCTCTGCGGCCCCTCCCTGCCACTGGGCTCATGACGCGGGGCTTCAGGGGAGTCGAGTGGCGTGGGCTGCAGACGCTGCCAGGTCAGGCTCCCGCCACGTTCCCTTGTGGGCATGTCCACGACAACAGCAGAGCCACTTGCTCTTTCCAAAGAATGCCTTCTCAATTCCTCATTGTCAAGGGTCTTTGCCAACTTATCCTTAGGAGCATGCCGGGGAAGTTCAGCATCCCTTTTAGCCAAAACCTCTGGACTGGCCTCCGCCATAACGTTCCTCCAACTTGACAGACTTGGTCCCTGAACACTGCGAGGGGTCTGTAGGATATCTGTGCCTCTCTCCACCGTGTGCTCTTCATTTAGTCCTCCATGGACGGTCGAAGAAAATTTAAAATCTTTCAGGCTGGTGGGGCCAGACTGCGATCCTTTCCCAAAGCCCTGAAGTTGGTGAGATTCCTTATTGAAATGGGTACTATTCTCTGGCTCGCTTGAATTTGCATTTCCAATTTCATCTGTCCGGTCACGTGTCTCAGACTCATCATGAGAGGAACTGACCTCCAACATGATTTGATTGGCATTTGTATCTCCCAGACTTAGGATACTCTCATTATTATTTTTCACTCCATTTCTGTTGTCCCGCAACTGAGCGTAACATGATTTCTTTGCAGCCCCTGGGACACTCATTTTCAACCCTTCAGTGGGGGCTGCTGGCCATGCAGTCCCACTTAATGGAAAGGAGCTTCCTTCAAGCTGCTACTTGATTAATAGGAAATTCTCAAGCTGCTCGTTGCCCCCTGACAATGTCACGCTGCAATACTACTTTAATCATTTTCAGAGCAGTCTTAAAACCAAGCATTGTCTTGACATACAGCGGGATGACTTATCTGTTAGGTTCCTGCTGAATGAGAGCCAATTAGTCCATAAGACCTAGAGAGAAATAAAAATAAAATCATGTTGTTGGCACTGACAAATAGAGATTCTTAGGGGAAAAAAACATGGAAAACACAGATTTATTCATCACTTTCATATTATTATTTCATTCACTCAGCCCTTAAATTTCTCAAAAACCTTTCTGATAGGGTCCCTGCTGGCCAAATATGGGGAAATTAAAACATAAAAATGATTAATGTTAGAAATGGATTATAAAACATATTAAATCTTAAATTCAAATTTTAAAAACCCACAGGTTCATATTGATACTGATTTAAAAGGCTGGAGGAGAAGAAAAAGCTCTTCTTCATAGAATAATACCAACTAACCTAACAAAAATCATACAGTTAGAAAAAAATCACCATTTTGCAATCACCAAAGTAATAATTATCTTGCAACAAATGGTTGCTAAAAACACCAGGTGAAAGATTGTTAGGGAACAGGATATTCACAGAATCTTAAGGTACCATTCTCCAGATTACTTTATTTTTATTTATTTATTTTTTGGGGGAGAGAGAGAGAGAAAGAGGAAGCACAGGTGCACGGGAGCTGGGGGTGGGGAGGGGCAGAGGGAGAGGGAGAAAGAGAATCTTAAACAGGCTCTACACTCATCATGGAGCCCAATGCAGGGCTCAATCATAAGACCCTGAGATCATGACCTAAGCCAAAATCAAGAGTCAGACACCCAACTGACCGAGCCACCCAGGCACCCCAAGATTACTTTATTTCTTACAAAAGGAAAATTCTACCTTTACAATAGAGAAATCTGGTAGAAGCCACCTTAACCAAGTGGTCAATTTTAACATCCATAATGGAAACTGATTCCATGTGTTCCTGATGTTAGGTAGTTCTCAGTGCTTCACATCACCTATGTAGTATTCTTGCTATAAATGTTCAAATTGAATTTAATCATGAGGAAATAATCAGGCAAATCTAAATAGATGGACATTTTACAAAATAACTGGCCTAAACTTACCTCCAAAATGCCAATGTGTATCTACATATAATGTGTGCTCCCTGACTGGATCTTAGATTAAAAAAAAAAAAGTTAGGGGCACCTGGGTGGCTCAGTCCGGTAAGCATCCAGCTCTTGATTCCGGCTCAGGTCATGACCTTGGGGTGGTGAGATCAAGCCCTACAGTATCGGGCTCCACACTCAGTGTGGAATTCTTAAGAGTCTCTGTCTTCCTCTCCCTCTCCCCTCCCCACCCCCTGCTCTCCCTCTCTCTCAAAAAAAAAAAAGTTAACAAAGGACATTATTGGGACAATTAGAGATTTAATATGGGTTGTATATTAGGTCAAGGTATTTTATCAGTGTTAACTTTCTTAGGTGTATAATAGTATTGTGAATATATCAGAGATATTCTTTGTTCTTGGAAGAGACACGCTTTTAAACATGACATGCTTTTAGACATGGCACATGGTAACTTACTCTCCAATGGTTCAGCAAAGAGAAAACTGTGCACGTGTGTGTGTGTGTGTTTGTGAGAGAGAGAGAATGGAACTGTGCCAAAAGATAATAATTTGCAAACTTCAGTGATCCACTCTACAACACCTATAACTGTTCTACATGTTTGAAAATGTTCAAAACGGAAGTTGGAGGAAATCCTATCCCAGCCTTCAGGTCCTGCATGGTCCAGCCCCCAAACACCTTTCCAGCCTCACCCCCTACTACTCATCCTCTTACTCTCCATGCTGCAGGCACACTGTCTTCATTCTTTACATTACTGGGCACCTCCTTCCCTGCTTTGGGGCCTTTGCACATACTCTTCCATCTGCACAGAATGTGGACTCTTCTCCCAACATTACCTAACTCCTTTGTGATCTTAAGTTTGCAGTATGAATACCTCTTCCTCCAGGAAGCTTTCCTGGCCCACTAGAATAGATTAGGTCCTTCTATAATGAACTGTCACAACATCCTATATTTTTACTTAAAATAAAAAAAACTTTTAAATGTGCTAGACACTGAAGAAAATATTGTTCAATACCTAGCATATGTATTGGGTACTTAATATGTATTTGTAGCATGAATGAATGACTATATGAATGAATGATGAAGATCAATGTTATTTCTGCCCCCAAAGAGCTTAAATCTAATATAGTATTTAAATTTTGATCAAAGTAGATTCACGGATCATCAGTAAATCACTCAATTCAAAGCTAACATTGATTTATCTACTATTGTGAGTGTATTTTATTAGGCACTGGGGATGGGAGAGTTTAAAAGTAACAAGGTTCTGCTCCATCCCCAATTCCCCCAGGGCGGATTCAACGTTAAAGTCTTCCACACCTTCCTCCTCATCCATACAAACACACATGAATACACATGTACACATTACCTGGGAGGCTGCTGTTATGTTTCTGCTGAAGTAGGTTATGTGGCAACCCACTGGTCTCCCTTCATCACTGTTTACTATGTAACTTCATCTATTCAAAAGATTATGTGTGCATGCATACAGACATAATCGTGTATATACATACACATACATATATATGGATGGATGTGACCCACAGAATGACATCATGAACACCTGAGAACAAAGGACTGAAAAATCACCAGTAATATGCAGCTACCTCCATGCTCCTCTCCAGCCCAGCCCCCTCCTCTCCTAATGTGACCTTTCATTGGACACCCTACCATTGGCATCCCCCAGAACCTCAGCAGATAAAGCTCTTTTTCTTTCATTTCTTTTGCATCTATTATGCAAGCATGTACTTTTTACATAAATGAGATCATTTCCTATAAGCTGGGGGTTTTGTGTGTTTTATTTGCCCCTTTCTCCGCTCACCCAAAGACATATTAACATCCTGATCTGGGTCTTTCTATTCCTTTCCCCACGTTCGTCTAATCCTACCCAAATACACACACCCACACAGGAGCAGGCACTTTCATTTCCTGCCATACTGCTCTTCTGTTCCATCCCTGTGGCACTGTCTCCATCCCCCTCCTCTCCTTCATCCCTATCTCCCACGTTCCTCTTCTCCTTCTCTGTCTTCTTCTAGGCCTGTCTTCAGTAAGCCAGGGGTGTCCTGGGTCCAGCCCCACCCCAATACAGACCTCAGGCCTAACCAAGATGCTCATACTCTGATCACAGCCTCAATTCCCTGACACAGAGGAGATTCTCAGTGAACCTATCTTTATTTCTTTATTCAAGTTAAAAAGTGTTTTCCTTGAAGATATACATATCCTCTGGGCACAGATATAAAAAGCATGTAGGCAAATCAGTAAGACAGCAGTTTAAAAGAACACTGTGCACTCTGGATCAGAAAGCAGGTATCCCAGAAAGCCAGGGAGAGCAAGAGATCCCACAAATATGGGCCATCCACAGAAAGGGAGTGCCTCTAATTCTCTTTGGGCAGAATTATAAGCATGAGACCAAGAGCTCCCAGGTTTGAATTATCAAGGCTGGGAGAAAAAAAGAAATGAATTCTTCTCAACAATGATGAACAAAACCAGAGTATGGTACACTGCAATTCACAATGTGATTGCTAGAGACTGACAAACAAGTGTCAAATCCCTGTCTTGCTAGAAAGAGTTGTATTTTAATTTTTAATGAATTACATAATAGATGCTTTTTTCTTTGTCAGTGAGCAGCAAATGTTACTCATTGGTAAGGGAATGGAAAGCTAGAACCTTCTAAGGACCAAGTATTATTCTCAGTTAGAATACATATTTGTAAATTTTAATTTAAATTTTAAATTATATTTTTGTTTAGCCTTTAATTTTAATTTAAGGTAGGCTATTTAATATTTGTAGTGGCCTCCAGAGATAGACCTTAACATCCCCTTGCTTTTTCTTTTCTTTCTGGGTAAGGACATGAAAGCACAGAGAGGGTAACATTCCCAAGGTCACACAGCTAAGAAGTGGAAGGGCAGGGACCGAGATAGGAAAGTAAAATCCATGCAGAAAGTGGAAGCTTTAAAAGGAAAAGCTGCCTGTTGGTGAAACTGTACAGATCACACAGTAAGAATAAAAGGAAAAGACACTATCATAAAGACCAAGAATAGAAAAGCAAAACCAGAAACCAAAAAAGGAGAGAAAGCTCACACAAGAAAAGAAAAGCATTTAAAAACCTTCTCCAATTATAGAAGGCGAAATTATGTACAGGAGGTAATGTTTCCTGTTTCTTTCCCTTCTTTCTCAGGCTTCACACCTTCCTCCTAGAGTTCCATCATATGGCCAGAAGTCAGTCACAGGGTCAATATGAACAAGTTTTTATTTATGTTTTTTTCTGGATCTGGACTTCAAACCAGGTTACCCTAAGATAAAGACTTTTTTCCAAAATACAAAACATGATCCTACAAATTCAGACTCATAATACAGGACTGTATGATTAAATAAGAAATACAAATATGTCAACCAACCGTGTTAACTGCCCCCCATGAGGTGCATTTTCCCAGAGTGAGGCATGCAATTTTCATTGTGCTTCACATCTGCTACTATAAAAAGTTACAAATGATGACCTTAGAGGTAGATGGTATTTTAGCTTGGAAAAAAATCCATTAATTAACTCCAAAAGGAATTTAAAGACTTTATAGGCTCATAGGCTATATGAGGCTTAATAGCCTTCCAAGTACCGCTCCTAGTGCTAGGGTGAAAATCCCAGTGTCAGGAGATCTGTCAGCTTTCTTGACAGCCCATCAGCCCTCCATGCAGAGCCACCATCAGACTAGCCCAGAGTGGAGATCCACCTCTTTAGAGCAGTACAATACAATTCTCCTCCCACCAGAAACAACCCTGCAGGTTATCTGTAAAGAACTACTATGCTCCCTTCCTCCTCCAAACTTATTCTCCTTATTAAAGAACTCAGATTCTCCCAACTATTGGAGCAGGTTTAAGAAACTCCCACCATCTAAATACACACCCCAGGGAGACTGAAGTCCCTCCTAAACAGGATACTCACACCTGCACACAATACTCCAGCTCTCGGGGCATCATCCAGGGTCCTGTGAAAGCAAGACCTCCATTCACTTAGTTA